CTATTTAAATTTGTATGATTTTTGCATGAATCACATCTATTGGTATTTTAGATTCTTTAGCTGCACCTATATCAAAGATAATTGTTATCATTTGTCAAATTTGTTTTTTAAGGATGTTATCCAAAATGTTACGCTATTATTAAATTTCAATATAATCAACCTCGAATGAGAATATGTTTTTTCAAAAAAATTATTAACTCGTTTACTTATTTTAATCTATATCTTTTATATTAAATATAAAGATAAAAGATTCATATAAACTACATAAAAATATTTGATAGATAATAAACATCTTCACATATTATGTGTATAGAATAATAAAATTCAAAAGTTAATTAAATTGAATACTCTGATAATATGTTTCATTTCAAATATATTTCTTGCATTCTCAGATCAATGATTGCACCTCTTTCTATATAAAATTAATACATGAACACCCTAAGATATATATTCATTACTTAGTATATTAAATGTCACGACCCAAAACCGGGCCGCGACTGGCACCCACACTTACCCTCCTATGTGAGCGAACCAACCAATCTAAACCTTAACATTTCAATATAATATCAACAGAAAGTAATGCGGAAGACTTAAACTCATTAATAAAATCAATTCAATAACTATTATTATCCCCAAAATCTGGAAGTCATCACCACAAGAACATCTATGATCAAATTACTAAACTAAGAGTATTCTAATAAGCTAAAAATACATAAAAGCTAGTCCATGCCGGAACTTCAAGGCATCAAGACATGAGGAAGAAGATCCAGTCCAAGCTAGAAACATTAGCTCACCCTGAAGATCCAATGTGACGAAGACTGGCTAGAGTTACTGTTGAGTCGAAGATGACGGCACGTTTGCTGCACTCCACAATTAAACAAGAAGAAAACAATAAAAGTAGGGGTCAGTACAAAACACGGGTACTGAGTAAATATCATCGGCCAATTCAAAATAGATAACAATATATACTAAGTAATATCATAAAATCAACTATGATACTCAACATGTAGCAACAACAAGTACTATATCATTAACAATTACCGTCAAGTTCACACATGAGAACTCAAGCCTCAATATCATACTCATTTGGGAATTATGTTCATTAGATTGAGTATATTAACATCTTTCAAGATTCATTATCTTTATTTCTCTTGTGTCGGTACGTGACACTCCGCTCCCTCATATTCATTAATCCTCTTATGTCGGTACGTGACACTCTGATCCCCTACTACTATGTGTCGGAACGTGACACTCCGATCCCCTAAATCTACGTGTCGGTTCGTGACACCCGATCCCCTAAATCTACGTGTCGGTTCGTGACACCCGATCCCCTAAATCTACGTGTCGGTTCGTGACACCCGATCCCCTAAATCTACGTGTCGGTTCGTGACACCCGATTCCCTAAATCTACGTGTCGGTTCGTGACGGTCCGTCCTGCTATTCCGTTACGAAGTTCAGAGAGTCGATTTTCAGTACCCAATTTCAGATTTTCTAAGTGTTTTGAAACGAGACCCTGCGACGGTCCGTCGTGCCCATGACGGTCCGTCGTGGGGTCCGTCACCTCAGCCTGTTTTTTCAGAAATAAAATCTGCTGCTAAAAACGACTAAACAGGTCGTTACAATAGATACCAATTTACCGATCGTTCGTCCCCGAACGATCACAAGAAGGAAAACAAGGGCGAAAAGGAGTACCTGAATCTGTAAACAGATGTGGGTATCTTTCTCGCATATCTGCCTCCTTCTCCCAAGTGGCTTCTTCAACGGGTTGATTCTTCCATTGAACTTTGATGGATGCAATCTCCCTTGATCTCAACTTGCGAATTTCTCTATCTAGAATGGCAACAGACTCCTCCTCATAAGACAAATTCTCATCAAGTAAAACTGAATCCCAACGGATAATGTAGTTTCCATCCCCATGGTATCTTTTCAACATAGACACATGGAATACCGGATGCACTCCGGACAGCCCTGGAGGCAAGGCTAACTCATAAGCCACCTCCTCTACTCGCAAGTACTTCAAATGGACCAATAATTTTTTGAACAAATTTGAAGAAAACATAAATGATACTACTTATTGCCATAAGAAATACCATAAAAAGAGATATATTTCAACATTTAATATATATTATTAAAATTATCAAAATATTGTTTGAACATAGGTGAGTTTTTATCATATTATAGACAAAATTACAATAACTAATTTGTATCTAACAAAGGTACATACTTGTGACAATAAAAAATTCATAAAACTTCAAACATAATAAAATTCATGAAAAAAAACATAATACACACATATTTTTATGACTTTAATCATAAGAACATAGTGAAAAGAATAATATAAATTAATGTAGAAATTTAAAACTCTTATCGACACTATTTTCGACAAACTAATCAACAATCAAGAGTCTTCTTCACCGAGTCAAGCATAAGAATTTGATAATAATAATAATAATAATAATAATAATAATAATAGCAAAACACTACTTCAAATATGAAGTGAAAAGAATGGGTCATGAGTAGAAATAATGAAAACTCAATCCAAAGAAATTAAATGAAAAGAACACACATCTTCCTTAACCTTAATCACAAGAAAATAAATGAAAAATAGAAATATAGATCGATGCACAGTTTTTTTGAACTTTTGTCCAACATCCTTTTTAACAGACTAATCAACATTTAAAAGTCTTCTTCATCGAGTTATGCTAAAAGATGAATGTGATCCTATAATAATAATAATATTTATAAATATTAACAATGAAATAAAAAAAATAATCTTGAGTTACATGGAGAGAACACACAACACATCTATCTTTCTTAGGTTTTTTATGACCTTAATCATAAGAAAATACATAAAAATAATAATGTATAATCAATGCACAATTTTTGTTACTCTTATCCGACATTCCTTTTGGCAAACTAACATCCAAGAGTCTTCTTCGTTGAGTTATGCCACAAAATAAATTCGATCCTACAATAATATAAAGATTAACAATGAAATAAGAAAAAATCTTGATTTACATGGAGAGAACAAACAACACACATTTTCCTTAGGACCTTAATCATAAGAAAACATATGAAAGTAATAATGCATAATCAATGCACAATTTTTGTTACTCTTATCCAACATCCCTTTTGACAAACTAATTAACATTCAAAAACCTTTTTTATCAAGTTATGCCACAAGATAAATTCGATCCGATAATAATATAAAGATTAACAATGAAAGTTAAGAAAATCTTAATTTACATGGAGAGAACACACATTAATCACAAGAGAATACATCAAAATAGAAATACAGAATTAGTGCATATTTTTGAAACTCTTATCAAAGAGTCTTCTTCATCAACATATGTTGAATATGAATATATGATCCTATAATAATAAGATGGGATTCCCCATTCCCATAATAATATAAAGATTAACATTGAAATAAAATGAATAATTTTGAGTTGGGATCCACGGTACAAAATATTATGAATTTATAAAGGTAAAATTTGAGAATATATCATAAAGTGTCTTAAATATTGTAATTAAATACTTGGGGGTTATGAATATGAAAATTTAATATTAAAAGAGTTAATGATAGTATTAAAAGTAGAAATTTAATAGGTATAAGTTATAAATATGAAATTGTAAAAATAAATAAAAGAGGAAAAGAATAAATATAAAAACGAATAAAGGAGATGAAAGAAATAATTTTATATTATATATAACTATAACTTTTATGGATTGAATAAGTAATAAATATTTTAACAAAATCATAATGTGTTTTTAAATTGAAATAACAATAAATGTTGCCATAAAGTCTAAAGATAGCAATTCAACAAATAATTCTTTATAACAATTTCAAATTTGAGGAGTGAGTAATTTTTTAAAAAAATTGATTTAAAATCTATTTAATTTGGGTAATTAATGTGATGTATTTGGGCTGAGTTTTAAATGGGTTGGACTGCATTTTTTGGGCTATAACTGAGCAAGTAATTAGTCATAGTATTTAGTGTGATATTTTACTCATTTATATATTTGTTTTGAAATAAAAATAAAAAATAAATCAGAAAAAGATAAAAATAGATATTGACAAATGCTGACCATTGGAGTGCGCCACATTAGCGGATCAAGATTCATATATATATATATATATATATATATATATATATATATATATATATAGATTATTAATTTTTATTATCAATTACCATGATAAATTTTCAATTATGGTGTCACACATCATATTGATATGGAATTAATGAAGGGGAGGTAGGAAGGGGTCTTGGCGAGGAGTTTTGAGAGGTTTTATACGATGAATAGGAGGAAATCAAAAAAATTATAAGGAGATGTGATTAAACATGATATGATGTAATATTTGTTTATTGAATATACGACATTAAATAAGATTATAGAGGTTGTAAATTAATATAGAAGGTTAGTAGGTAATGAAACATGTTTTGCTTTCTGATAGATTTAGACTTTGCGGTGTATGTCTGTAATATTAACTTTATTCTTGTAGTTTCTTTGCTTTTGACATTTATCATTTGTTTATTATGTTTAGTTGTTGTACTCTTTTATTGTTGTTAGTTCATTGTCTCTATCACCTTCAAATCCCCCCACCTTATTCCTTTGTCATAATATTTTATTATATTATATGTAAATACTTTTAAGATATTGTTATATTTACTATTTATCAAACACTAAACACTAAAGAATATGTAAAATCATATTTTTCTTAGTATATATATATATTAAAAGTAAATTTTAAATCCACTTTCCATTTGTCAAAATTTAAGAGGTCTCATACAATTAACATTGGTGGTGTGAAACATATTATAAAGTTTCTTAACCCGACTGTTGATCCGCATTTAGAAAGAGGATAAATTCACAGAGAGAGAAAGAAGAAAAATACTCAATTTCGAAAAAAGCCCTAAATCAAAGCACACAATGTTGAGCTAATAATCTCTGCAATTTATAATAAACCCTCAATTGAAGCCATGGCAGGAAAAGAATTTTGAGAATACACCAATCTAACCGATCCTAAAGGTATTTTTGCATAACAAATATGTAACTGTCAGCTAATTTTTTGCTAATTGATTTGCTATTTTAGGTTTAAATTGTAAATGCAAACAAATATTTGACAGATAAGAAATTTGGTAAAGGGAAGGACAAGATAGATGGCGAGGAGGTCACTTTCCAACGCATTGTTTCCAAGGTTAGCGAATCTCGTTTCTTCAACTTTTTATGGTTGTTAAATTTATTAGAAGTGAGTGAGGTTTGCTTTCTGATTTGAATTCTGTCTGCTTTTAGCAAAATTAAATCCATAGCAACTCTTGAAAGTTGATGTTGAATTGTGTTTAGCAGCTTTAGCTATTAATCTTATTGAACCACACCTTAATTTAGAAATTTAAGTTGACATGGAGGAGACTGTTTAGTTATTTGTTTATTTTAACTCCGCAACAATTTATAATTCGAGCATAGCATATGTTTCAGTTTTTTGCATAGCATATGCTGCTTAGTTTTTCATAAACTTGATCATTTGTTATATATGATTTTTCATCGGCATAGTGAAATAAATGATATGTAAGGAAGATGTTAACAACGAATTGAAGGACTCCAGAAAAGATGGCACGATTTACGATAAAAGTAGGAGTATGTTAGAATGATCACCATGTTCTATGTTGGATGATGTGAAGTTTGTATCTTTTATTTGAGAAAAGGTGACTCAGGTTTTATATTGGTTAGGAGTAACTCTTTTGAGATAAGAATTAATGATGTTAATTTAATTAGCATCCAAGTTTTCTTACTTACACTCTGCCTTACCCCAATTACCATCATCCCCCTCCGCCACTAACTCCTCCTCTATCTCCTCTGTTACCATCTTTTCCAACCTCCTCCTTCTCCATCTCCCAACCACCTTGCCTCCACCTTCTGCAGTAAAATCAACAACCTCGATTTCATACAATTGTATTTCTCCTCTTATTCTAGCTATCAAAAGGAAAAAAATGAAGAAGTTTTCATTTTCAAATTCTGGAAGAATTGAGAAACTGACTGCATCTGCAATCAGAACATTTTGCATTTACTGCTCTTTGTATTTACTCCACTCTCCTTCCTCTTTCTGCTACTGAACGCCAAGCTACAGATTTATTTTGTGTTAATTATATAAGCAACTAGATTTAATTTGTTTTTTTTAGCAAGGGGAATGCTTGATTATTCCAAGTAAACCACTTAGAAGAGTTATGGATTGAAATAAGGAAAATATTATGGCCACCTATTAGCATTTAGATAAGACGTTTTGCAGTATATTTGGATACAGAAAGTCTTTGGGGATATGTTATAACACTATTTACTACTACTGAAAAAAAATGTTGGTCTTGAATCATTGTAAGTTCAGAAGTTCAGATATGTCAGATAAATTTGTAATCTAAAGTTATTTCAAGGTCAGGTTATATTATAAAATTTTCATCATAACATGCCTCAAGTTCTGATAACATGCCCTGACAGGGATCCTGGCTTTTCCTACTGGGTGCTTGACATGTTTAGATGCAAGAGGTTGCTGTGAAACATGGAGGTTACCTTCATGGAAGAGGCGGTATAGATTCTTGCTCACAATAATTGCTTCCTCCTTTTGGTACATTAGTTTGTCCATATAATGAAAATGTGAAATAGTTTCTTGAACCTTGTTTAAGTTATATTTTGCATCCCTAGACAACGATGACTTACTTTACCTTAAGGAACAGATGGAAGTTGACGAAGATGTGAACGCCTTCTGCAAGGTACGGAAAAATGTGCATTTCAAGCATTCAAGATATCCTTTTTTGTTTGTTCCTTCTTTGATACCTCTGGATAATAATATTGAATGGTGACGGCGAGTGCTAATTGATGTAAATTGAATTCATTTACACATAAAGTTATTAAAAAGTTAATTTGATGATTTACCCCGTCAGACTTTAGCTTTGCCAGCAGAGAGGATGCGTTGTGGCTTACGAAAGTTGGGACACATATAACTTATCCCCCAAAAAATGAAAGATATCTTCAGTTATCAAGTTGTATAACCGTTTACATTTTCTATGTGTTGCTTAACTAGTTTAAACAAAGATATTGTTGATTCTTCACCTGCATCTATTCCCCTGCCACTTCCTGTTGAGCCCAAGCCAAAAAGTGGGATCATGTACAATTGATTAATTTTACATTTTTACTTTAGACACTTTTTCTTTCATGTCTTCTCCCTCGTCTTTCTTTCTCCTAGTTTTTGTGCCCCAGTAATCGCAGGGCGAGCCATCTTTACATATTGATAATTTTTTGTATTCAAATATTCAAACTAATAAGATATATACTGGTCTACAGGCAGCAAGATTTACTAAAAAGTGTTTTAGGAGTCAAGCCTAAGAAGCCGAAAGTTTCTAGAAGGTTTGATGGGAGTAATTCCATCTCAAGTACACAAGTTATTCTTAGTATTAATTATGATTCCAATCAGGAGAAGCAGAAAGATGTCTTGCCGGCTAAACCAAATGATACTGAAAAAGAAACAAAGGTAGATAATCCGATAAAAATCTCGATAGCAGCATATGAGAGTTCAGATGATGAAGATTGATTCTGTATGGATTTGATTGATGAATGATTCTTAGATCATAGTGTTTAAATCATCAAATATCCTTAGCATTTGTAATGTGGCCATTTTGATCGAGGATCCATCGCAGAGGCCTAAATGTTGTTACCGTAAATTAGCTGACAAGTGAATATCGATAAATTGTATGTTGTAATTTTACATAGTTGAGATGTGAGGTATAATCGTTTTGCATAAAATTTGCATCTCACTATCACCCACCTCACAAGTCTCATTCACATATGTTTAATTTCACGCAACAGATTTTTAGGTTCAATTTCATTGATCACAGCTGACAGCTATAATGAATCAATTGATCTAAAAACGTCGATTTATGACAAATTCAGTGCAGCCAATTCTCTCTAGAGCTCTATATTTTGCTATTAATATCATTTGTCGTGCACGTTTCTCGATTTTAAATATTGTGCTAATAGAAAATCATAAGGTACTGTAACATGCATCTAATATTACAATTAAAGATTCAAACCACCATCTTCAAAAAATAACTTTTATCGAGTATTTTTATGCTAGTGTGAATGAAGACGTAATTGGAAATAATTTCAATTGAAAAACATTATTAAGTAGGCATACTATATACACGTGTCTTACAATTTGATTTTTATGAATTTATACTTTGAATGAACATAAGTGATCATTTAACTTATATCAAATTTGAATAGATATTTGTATACACATTTGATGTGCACGTATTAATCAGTTTGAGCGAATCTAACACAAATTATCATATAAAATATTACATAGAACATATGTATACTAAATTTCAAAAACAAATTTAACTAATATTTATTTATATATGCTTTAAAAACATAAATATCAGTTAAAATCAAGACGATAGGTTATTATGCTTAAAAGCAATGGTTTTATTATATATTGTCGTTTAGTTTTAGTGTAACGTTTGAGTTTTAGCAAGTGAAGTCAGATAAAGAGGTTGTTGATTGGATCGAAAGAGACAACGTAATGCATGTAGTATACGTGTCACTATTCATGCAGTGCTACTCCCAGGTGTCCACTTTTATTATCTTACTGTAACCCATCTGTTCTATATATAAACACCCCCCCTCGATCATATCGTTCTCTATTAGCCTCGTCTTATATTTTTTATTATTATTATTATTATTGTTATTATCTTTAAGCGGTGTGTTTTGTGTGGAAAAAAAAAATATACTCACAATTATGCAGCCACGGAGATATGAGTTTGGCAGGGCGGATGAAGCTACACACCCTGATTCTGTGCGTGCTACCTTATCTGAGTTTCTCTCTACTTTCATTTTCGTCTTTGCTGGAGAAGGATCTGTTCTTGCCCTTGGTAACTCCTAACTCCTAATTAATTCTATCCGTGACAATTCGATGCACAAAACATTCTGTATTATTGTTTACTGATTGTTATTCGTGCGGATTGTATGTGTAGATAAGTTGTACCCTGATAGAGCTTTAGGAGCGTCGAGATTGACGGCGATTGCACTCGCGCATGCGTTTTCGCTGTTTGCTGCGGTAGCGTCCAGTATGAACGTCTCCGGTGGTCATATCAACCCGGCTGTTACGTTTGGTGCTCTTGTGGGCGGGCGAGTTAGCGTCCTTCGTGCTATGTACTACTGGATTGGTCAGTTGCTAGGTGCTGTTGTTGCCTCTGCCTTGTTGAGGCTTGCTACGGATGGATTGGTAAGACACTCCATCGGAAAACAGAAGCTTAATAGAAATAATTTAACTTCAATTTTTCTGTTTTACTTTTACTCTTGATGAAATGATTTTTAGTTCGGAAAATCCCTGGAGACTTGTTTTAGACTACGAGTTTCATTTTTTTTTTCTCAGAACTTTGGGACAGAGGGAATATTTTTTACAAAAATTAAAAAGGGGAATACTTCAGTCTTAAATTCTCATAAGCTTTTTTTATTGGAAAAAAAGATAAATATATACCGAACTATTTTAAGTGGTGAATAAATATCTTCAGTCATATTTTTGGGACTCGTCGTCCAAAGACAACAATTAGTGAGTATATATCCTTCAATCTTCGGGCTGGTGGATAAGATCATGATACTTGTGTGTCTCTTAGTTTTAATGGTATCTTACTATGATTCAAAAGTAAGATAGAGGCATCTTTATATCATTTATCATAAACTTATCATAGTTTAGGATATATTTGTCCTTTTTTTTTCTTTTTTATATATTACTCTCTTTCTTAAAATGATTTAGTTTGACTTTGACATGAAATTAAAAAAGATTTTTAAAATTATGTAAAATATACAAAATTGTTATTTAAATTTGTGATCTCAAATATGTTATGTGAATAGTTGAAATTAAAATTTTATCAGAAAAAGGAAAAATAGTTCTTTTTGAAACTGACCATGAAGAAAAGGAAGAAAGGATTTTTTTTTTTTAAAAAAAAAACAGACGAAAAAGAAAAAAAACGATCGGATGTCATTCTTTATGGTACAAAGCGAGTACCTACACTATGGTTTTACTCGATTAATTATTTACTACAACGAACAACCATTTTCTGTGTGGATACAGAGGCCAGTGGGATTTGCGGTAGCATCAGGAGTTGGCAATGGAAATGCACTTGTGATGGAAATAGTGATGACATTTGGTTTGGTGTACACTGTTTATGCAACAGCTATTGATCCAAAGAGGGGTAGTTTGGGGATTATTGCACCTCTTGCTATTGCTTTCATTGTTGGAGCTAATGTCCTTGTTGGTGGGCCTTTTGAAGGAGCATCCATGAACCCAGCAAGGGCTTTTGGGCCTGCTTTAGTGGGCTGGAGGTGGAGGAATCATTGGATCTATTGGGTAGGCCCATTCATTGGTGCAGCCATAGCTGGAATTATCTATGAATTTGGACTCATACAGGCTCATGATGAAGCTCCAGTTCATACTCATCATCAGCCTTTGGCTCCAGAAGATTACTAAAATAGGAGGACTTGTTTTGTTTGTGAAGTTTGTATGTTTGGGTCTTTTTGTTTGCTTTCTTAAGAGGCCTTAGCCCCCTTCAAATGTATTTGCGACTTGTTTAATTTTGACTTGTGTAAGCTTTTAAATAACATAAACAAAAAAGCTATGTTTTGTGTATGTTCGGTTTTGGTTATTGGTTTCTAGATATTAGTAGATATGTTATGAATCATTAAGACGGGTATTACTTAGATGTGAAACTTGCAGACCTCATAGAGGGGAACAAAATCAAAGAATATATAGACTGATAGAGGCCCTCTATGTGGTTGTCTATCCAGGGCGGTCGGTTATTGATAGTCTAATTATTCATTAAATCGTTATAGTTAAGATTTGACACTTCAAAGAGTCACTCAAAATCACTTACAAACAAAGTGATAATGATCGCATTACATTTAAAATCGAATATTGTCACTTTGAGTGTGATACTAAGTTATATAAATAGAAATAGAAATTAGACGAATGATCGCATTATGTTTAAAATCGAACATTATCACTTTGGACGATAAAGTTTGATACTGTTATATAAATAGAAATAGAAATCAGACGAACCTTATCACTTTGGACGATAGAGTTTGATACTAAGTAATAAAAAAATATAACTATTTAATTTACTTTAATTGGAGGTATTGGTTAATCTATTAAGGAAAAAATTAAAACCATAAAGAATCCCTGATCTGTCTAATAATTAAAAAATTTAAAATTATTACTGAAAATATTAAATTGATAATCCAATAACTATTTTTCATTTAAAATTATCAATTAGGGTTCGATTTTAAACATTCATATTATATTACATTATAACGTATATTACAGTACATTTTACTTCGTAGGTTGCATTTTTGGTCTTGCTTTTTTCACTATTAATTACAATAACTAATGTATATTTATTTTGTACATTTTGGTTAATAGAGTTGTGTTTTAAGTTGTTTCCTTTTTCTAACCAGAGTAACAAATAATTCAAATGTTATATACCTAAATCCCAGTGTCTGAATTTAACACACTATAATTAGAAGAATCTTATTACTTTGCAGACGAAAGCTAAATTTTGTTAAATATATATATAAAAAACATATTAGGAATATAATTACTCTAAATCATAAAAAAAAAAAGTTGTTTTCTAATAATGTAAATTTTAATTAAGATGATCATATACTATAAAATTTTAACTTCGATTATACAATTTGATTCTACAACAGTACAAAAGAACTCAAACAAAGAGATTTGTGAACTTTTTTTTACTGATCATCCAAGAATTATGTCCTATATACTAAAGCACACATATTTCATATAAATGAAGTTTAAGAACTTTAGTAAAATATATCAGAGATTCATTTGTAACTTCAACGTTATGGTAGTTGTTTTTTCGTAATTTAATTAAGAATATTTTTATTTAGATTTCACTCAACATTAAAAAATAACAATTACTTAATCACGTACCAAACAAGAAGTGATTTACAAAAATCTCCTTGAATTTGTTGACCATGAAAACTTTCGCCCTACTTGTTTAATGAAAAAAAATCTTTTAGAACCAACAAATTTTGACTTTTGACCATTAACACTTTGTTTGGATCATTGTTATCCATTGTTTTATAATGTATTGTATGGTATATATAATGTTCGGCTAGACTGAATTGTTTGTTGTTGTTTAATAACATTTTAATTGTTACGTTTAATCGCATCATACTGTATTGTAATTTATAAATTTACTAAAATATCTTAATTATTCTAGGGTAGGAGATTTGACTAGATTTAAATAATTAAATTAAAGGGTAAAATAATATTTTAAAATATTATGTAAATATATAATTGAAAAAAGAAATTAAGTAACAGTAGGAACACACCAAATTAGTTGTTCCATAAAAAAAGATTTTCATTGTTACGTAACAATAAAATTTAACAATATAGTACAATACATTTTAAGTAACAATCAAAATAAATATTATAGATATATTAACGATACAATACAATACAATGAATAACAATGACCCAAATATAGTGTAAAGGTCGATCTCACGGTATAGTTAGTTTCCTATCAAAACAACGAAACATAAATAGAGTCGACAATAGAATGAAGAACGAAACATAAATAGAATCGACAATAGAACGAAGAACGAAACTTTACAACAGTTTTTCATAGACGTTCACTTGCATTACATACACAAGTGCTTCGCCCATAACACGCGGCTTGGTGTAGTTAGTTTCCTATCAAAACAAAGGTTAACTTTTAAATACCAGTTGAAAATGTGGCTTAACTATCAAAGTTTTACGATTTTTAGAAGAGAAATTTAATCAGCCCAGCCCATAAATATACAACAGCCCAGCCCAATACGAGCAAGGTTTTATATTTAAGTTCCTCTATACCAAAAGGGTTTTATAGATACGTTCGTGAAGAGAGAATCTCGATCTGCCGCAAGCCGAAAAAAACCCTAGCAGCAGAAAGGGAAGAAGCAGAGCACAACCATGGCGACGCAAGATGTAAGGACTCTTTCGACTAAAGAAGCTGACATTCAGATGATGTTGGCTGCTGAAGTTCACCTCGGTACTAAGAATTGTGACTTCCAAATGGAGCGATACGCTTTCAAGCGCCGTAACGATGGTATGAAAGTGTTTAACTTAATTTTCTATCTCATTCCTTGATTCTATGTGTTTTTCGTTATGTTAAGATCATATCTTATGTCTATTAGCTGTAAATTGCACCGATTGATGCATAGTAGTTTGTAGATGCTTATTGTTATGTTGGCATTAGGTGTATTGATTTGGTTATCCACGAACTTTTTTTGGAAAAAAATGTTTAGTAACAGTTGGAAGGATTTAACTTTTTTTATTCGCCATTACTTCTCTGTGATAATTGTATTCAGCTCTTACCTACTGGTAGGATTTGCTCGTTCTTACGATTAAGCCGATGCATGGGTAGCTGTCTTGCTGTCTTCTAGGTGCATTTTATCAAGCTAATAGGTTCATATTAATTAGATATAGGCACTTAACAGGGAGCTTGATTCGAACAACAGTAATGACATTTATAGTGTATGTACTGCAACTATTTGAAAGCATATAGATTAATTCACTACTCATGTGGATAGATTTGAATTGTAAAACCTTGTGGCAAGTGAAGCCAATACCTTTACAATATGCATATAATGCAAATAAGTGTTTTTGATGTATTTTCAGTTTGCTGAGGCTGGGCGCCTGTATCGGTCAGATTGTGTTGTTTGTAATTGCTAGTTTCTCTTTTAGATAATCTTTCCATTGTTTGACCTGCATATATATGATATGCATTCGGATTCATTAAGTGTTTTATCTCATGTAGGAATTCTTTATCTGCAACATTTCATTTGCTCTCTCTATTGTTTACTTCCATTAAGTTGATATTAGATGTGCATTTTACTAGTACTCTATGTGGGACAACTAGAGATACAAATTCAAATTCCTGGTGTCATAACAAAATCTTCATTAGTGGTTTGGTTTCTCTGTTTACTTGACCCTAAGTATTTATATTTGTAGGTATCTACATCATCAACCTTGGAAAGACATGGGAAAAGCTTCAAATGGCTGCCAGGGTGATTGTTGCTATTGAGAATCCTCAGGACATCATTGTTCAATCTGCCAGGCCTTATGGACAGAGAGCTGTCTTGAAATTTGCTCAATATACTGGTGCACATGCTATTGCTGGACGTCACACCCCTGGAACTTTTACCAATCAGCTTCAGACCTCATACAGTGAGCCACGACTCTTGATTCTGACTGATCCAAGAACTGACCATCAGGTTTTACTCGCTATCCTGCTACTAATATTCTCTTGTAAACCTGCCAATTATAACTAACCTGTTTGAAAACTTCGCAGCCAATCAAGGAAGCTGCACTTGGAAACATCCCAACTATTGCTTTCTGTGACACTGATTCTCCAATGCGTTATGTTGACATTGGTATCCCTGCCAATAACAAAGGAAAGCACAGCATTGGTGTTCTTTTCTGGATCTTAGCAAGGATGGTACTCCAGATGCGTGGGGCCATTAATCAAGGACCTAAATGGGATGTTATGGTAAAGACCATCTTTATTCATTTTATTTTGTATAGCTCTAACTTCATTGTTACATTCTGCTGGTGGTGGTTGTGTGCTCTTCTGAAATTTAGTAGATGATTTAATGCCTGCTTTTGCAGTCACTTGAATATAGGTTTTTCATTTGCATCTGTTTATTTCTATTTTTGCAGGTTGATCTCTTCTTTTACAGAGAGCCTGAAGAGGCAAAGGAGCAAGAAGAGGAAGTGCCAGCAATTGCAGATTATGCAGACTACTCTGCGAGTGCTGCCCTTGGTGGTGACTGGACTAGTAGCCAAATCCCTGAGGCGCAATGGACTGCAGATGCTGCAGCACCTGCAGTAGGTGGTGGTTGGGCTGGAGATGGAGGTTAGTTTGTTATTTTGTGAAGTTGGTTCCTAATATTGTCTGCTAAAAAATTTCAATCCCCAACTGGCACTTTGTTGCTCTTGAGCTCATTTTAGCTGATAGTCTTTTGCTTCTCTTTTTTTTCCCTGTCCTATGATTGTGAGCCTCTTCTGTAAGTAAGCATTTGGTGATTTTAAGTTATTCTTATTCCTAAATTTGTTGGCACTAATAACCTTGCCTTTTGTTTCCGGGACGAATTTCAGCAGCTGATGGCGGATGGGATGCAGCAGCAGCCCCTGCACCAGTTCCTCTACCAGTACCAGATGTTGCCCCTACCTCTGGTGCTACAGGCTGGGAATGAGCCTTTTTCCTTCAAGCTCTTCATCCTTTTTTGGATAAAGATTAGATATTTCGAGTTCTACAATAGATGGTTTTTTAATGGCACAGTTAAAAAGGATTTTGACTTCGTGGATGTACTGAATTATTTAATCATTGCTAGTGCAGTGTTTCTTTGGAGAATCTGGAAGTGCTTTTGTTTTGAAAGAGTGGAAAAGCAAATTTTTGTTGTTGTCCTATCTATTTTCTTCATATTTCTGCATTCATTCCATAATTGTATTACCATGTTCTTGTTTGGATGGTTTTACTTAAATCAATCATAAGAGTAGTGCTAACTTGACTTTATCGCATGATAGTTTCTTATGAATGTTAGAACCCTAGATTTTCTTTATATTGAGCTTTCCACTGATGTTTCTTAGAGATGTTTGTTAACCTGAAAATATATTGCACTAAAGGGTTTCACAGAATTGTCAAGTTTGCAATTTCATCTCTCTAAATGGGTTAAGTTTTCTCAAGGCTTGAAACAAGCCTAGCTCTCCAGCAATTTTTAATATCAGGGTTCTTAGTGTTGTAGTACATATACGCTTTTCTTTAATTGACCACGACTATAATAGGACAAGAAGGTTAAAGTGTTTTAAGTTTTGTATAGTTGTTGATTATGTTATGCAAAAGTAAACTTTTATCTTCCATTCTCGTACCTACACGGGACCTTTGGTCTACTTAAGTGTTTAGCTCGAATGAGTAACATATATTAATTCAACAGCATAACATGATAAAATGACGATAATAATCACCTCATACAATCGACGCAAGATATTTTTTACTTCCAACTCTTTCTTTATGGACAACCAATTAAGAACGATAAAGCTTGTGTATGAGTTGAGAACAATCTTCTTCATGGCAGCTAAAGATGAATCATCCGACCACGGAAGCCAAGCATAGCACTGTTGATTTGATTTTTTTTTCCTTCACAAGGTCGTCAGTTTACTGCATCTGTGATACTGAAACATGTGAACCATTGGATAATTTCGTTAGTGAAGACTGAAGACAGTGAAGCACAAAAGAAATGCCAGTAACAAGATACACAGGGACTTGCGTTGTGAAAATAAATGAACTGGCCATACTGTAAAATTTACAATGTTCCTTAATTTCACTGTTGTCCCCTCATTCTCTCAACTAAATTTCTCCCCTTTTCTTCTATGTGACGTGCCCTTTCTTCCAGTTTCTCCCCCATTTTCTTCCCCAAACCAAGCATCCTAGCCCTTCTCCCTAATCTTGTACACTTTGAATCATCTTCTCCAGTAATTTGATTTTTTTCAAGTAGTAACAGTTGTCGAGAAGGTGACTTGCATTCTATGTTCTCCGCTGTGCTTTCGAGATGACCCTCTTGCTGTTCCTCATGCTTCAACAATGGTGCTCCCAATTCTTCCAAAGGCTGGTTATTTGTGCCAGGCTGTGCTATAGGAACTGATAGAGACGCATGATCCAGTGATTTGCTTTGCAGGGCAGACCATCCAAGTTTTTTCGTCTTCGCTTGATTGCTTCCGCCATTGCTAGAGGTGCTTCCTGTTTCTGGACTATGCGTAGGAACTGATAATAATGCATGTGGATCCAATGACTTGCTTTGTTGAGTACTCCATCCTGTTTTTCCTGGAATTTCAGTTTTGCTTTCAGAATTACCATTGGTACCTCCCTTGTCAACTTCAGTGACTCGTGTTGCATCCGCAGGTTGGGAGCTGGATGCTTCTTGTCTGTTCGCATTATTACCTGCACCTTCTCGATTCAGCCATAAAAATGGGGCAACTTGTCGGGGGACCCAATCGTCCTTCTCTGCTAACATAAATGGGATGGATACACTTTCACAGTTTGGAAGTACCAGTGTTTCACGAATAGCACCCTGCATTAGTTATAAAGAATCAGCTTAAGCCTCTGAAGGAAATCTCAGCCTACGGATGATAAAAAGAGAACAATATATTGGAAACTTTGCATAGATTGCTCTATCGAATTTAAAGTTGAATTAAATTCAAGCATCGTTATAAAACCAATCCATAGGAAGCAGAGACATTGGTGGTTGGGAATGAAACAAGTACAAATAAATTAGTAGCTTATCAAAAAGAAATGATCTAAAAACAAGAACTTGCAAGGCTGGGAGGTTGAAGAATTTCAAAATTTGGTCGAGTTGTTTCACAAACAAATAACTTCACAGAATAGGCGTCATTTCTGTTGTGACCAATAACCAATTATGAAAAACTTCTAATCAGCTTTTGCACCCATATTTTGAAACGCATCACTAGGGTATTGAGAAACATGTTTTTTTTGCTTGGCTGGCTGCAAGAGGATGATCTTGATGTCGGAGAATTTTGAGGAAGAAGATTACTTGTATTAGTTAATGTTTCATGTGAAGGCTCAGGGGAAGATGTGAACTACCTCCTTTTACATTGTTGGATAGTATCTTATTTGTTATGAGAAATTTTGAGATGGTTTAGACTTGAGTGGGTGATGTCGGGTACTAGAAAACAATGTTTAGCAGAGCCTTTTGAAGAAGGAAAAGAAGACATGGAGCATGGGACACTCACAGGTCGTTGCATTTCTTGCCATTTACAATCATTTGAAGGGACTTGTTACTCCTCTTAACACTATGTGGGCTGTATGAGGAATAGTAGAATTTCTGATTGAGTTGAGAAAAACTTAGTTTGTACACTTGAATACCATCTTTTCCCTTTATTTTCTTTGGTGCATGCACGAGTTCTCTTATAGGAAGAAGACTAAAGTGGAAGAGAGGAATGTGGGCCAGAGGGGGAGGAATGGCAATGGTGAGTGTAGAGAGAGAGACCACTTTTTAAAAATTTCTTTTACTATGGGACCCAAAATTAGGCCAATCAGGTGACACCACATATTAAATAACAACAGATTTTTTTTAATAGGGCATGGAGTATTAGTTATTAGGGCAGAAAAGAGCCAAAATAATAGTGGTAAAAGCAAATTTAGTCAAATAGGTGGATAGAAGGTATTTTTATACCATTTCTAATATTTGAGGGGTAGTTTTGGCCCTTTTTTGTAGGAAATATCCACTTATACAGATAAGTGGTTAGATTATTTTAGGAAAAGTACTCTTGGCACCAACTTGTCTGGGGATTTAGACGTAATTTTAAAGAATTGGATTTTATATGGAAACCACTCTATATTATATCTTTTTGTAACGATGATTTCCACAATTCTAAGTGCTGTTTCCACTATTTGATATTTAAGAGACAATATTCTAGAAATTTTTGTTCAAGTGTTAACCCACTGCTGTAAGTCAGTCACAATTATTCTCTAGAAACCTTGACCTACTGAAAATGGATTTAAGCTAGCGAAGTGTTAGAACTGTTAAAGGCCCAATGGTAAAAAATTTAAAAATCATGATTAAGTCCATGTAAAGGGCTTAATGAGAAGAAGAGATGTATAGACACATAATCAAATTGTAGTACAGAAATTATCAATCTGACCTTGAACCGATTGATTAGGAACAAAGAGAGATGCCCACTTGAGATCTTATGCTCCCCAACGGAAGAGTCCAAGTGGATATCTATATCGGGCATCGATGTGAATCCGAACCATATTTGATCTGAAGGTGGTGGCTTTATGTAGAGCCTCATAGTTCCTTGAATGGATGCGATCCTTATCCCCAGAGAGAGTGATACCTGATGAGTTTAAAGATCCAATGATTAGAATGCAAAAGAGCTTCTTCCACAATTTGTTACAGTACAGGAAGAATAAGACACTATGTTTCTTCAGTACATGCACCAATAAAAATTCAAAAGTTTTCGTCCGGCACAATATGATTAAATTACTAATCGTCTGAGAAATACATGCAGTAGCAGAATGCTGCCATATTAGAAGTTCTCATGATTGTATAACGCGTAAATCCTTTATCATTCAGAATCCACTGCTCAACCATAACTCATACCATGTTCTCCTTAGGGGATCCTTGTCTTACCTGTCATTATCTATTGCTAAAAACGGATACTAAGGTCAACTTAACGACATCAACTATAGTTCTTCTCTGTAACTAATAAGGAGGTCATTTCAAGTCAACGTCAGGAGAACTACTGAAATTTTGCTGTATTTTACACAAAAGTATTCTAGGATGTAAGTTGCACAAACATAGGTTAACCGTTAACCTGTAGATTTTGACTAACCCAAGAGAAGTGAATCTCTCAAGTAGACCATTTACAAGGAATCAAGCTAAGAAATTATAAGATCTCCACGATTTAGCTCAAAGGATCATGTATAATGATTTTTAAGCCTTGAGGACTATGAGGGAACAAAGAAAACCAAGGCCAATTAAGCTCTTTGAATCCAAGGGATCTTGTGACAAGAACTCTTCTATAGCTCATTATCTTTAGAGGACTATAGGGATTTTGTGTACTTTTGGCTCTTGGGTTGTCATAACTATAACCATTTTGTTGCATTCTTTCATTTTAGAAAAATCAATTGGGAAGAGAAAACCCTTGTGGCGAGATACTAAACTAGATGTTGACAGGATTGAACCTTTAACATCAAGATTATAAGCCTTGCGAGATACTAAACTGCTCTACCATGTACATAAAGAAAAATTAAATAAGCACCTCCACCCTATCTGTACAGACCAAACAGCCCATTATATTAAATAAAATAGTTGTAAACAACCTGTGAGACCTGCTTGGCAACAGAATTAAAGATAGACTTCCACTTAGAAACTTGAGGCAACACATTTGGAGTGCTATTGGAGCTTCTCATCCCATCTGAAAATTCACATGATTAATACACCTTGAAAACCATCTAAAATAATTTTTCTTTCAAAAATAGTTAACTATTCCCTTTAAGTTACTGCACAAATAACCATGAAGCATGCCCAAGCAAATTAACATATTTTGATTGCAAAATCCAAAATTTTGAGAACATCATAGAAAATATTACCTTCCTTGGCTTGGTCCATCTTATCAACGTTCACTTCAGAATGCTTTTGTTTTCCAAACTGCTCAACCCCTTCTAGTAAATCATATTTCACATCATGAATAGCACCGGATTCTGTTTCTGGTTCATCACCTTCAGGTAAATCAAGGTCCTGAACTGCTACCCTCGTCTCGACCTCCAAGATTGCATCACCAGAATACTGAAGATCAATTTCGAAGGCCCAAAACTCATTCATGTCCGAGGGAAGAACCCTCATTGCACGTATGTAGGGAGGAAGGTTACCAATATTAACAGAAGTACATGTCACTTCGCCTATGTAGCTAGGAATTCGTATATTTGACAGCGTTCTCTACAAGTAAGAACACACAGAATCATAAGTCAGTTCGACAAAGAAAATTTCTATTTTAGTTTAATATAATAATAGAAGATGCATAGAATATCAAAATGAAACAGTACCTATATAAATATTGCTAATTTTCAAAAGCAATAGTTAGAGCAAATTATAACGTCCAACCAAAAAGCTTAAATCAAGAAACATATACTAATGGAAAGAGAAAGGAGATTGCAAACCTGAATCCTGGCTTGCAAAGAGGTTTTCATCTGGTCGTTTCTTTTAGCATCAAAAAACAAACGGGATATCAACAAGTTCCAACAAAGAGTTCCTTCATCACCAAAAATTCTCTCATCAGAATCCGCATCAGAAGTAACTGACGTTTGACTCCGGCTTCCTAATCCAGAAGATGTTGATGTAGATGAAGGCACTGCAACGTCCTTAGTAGAAAAATCAAGAGGTTTTCGTGTTGGAGCCAACTTGATACCTCCACCAGCAAAAGAAAGGTCTTGTAAGGATTGAGCTCTCTCACTTATCTTCCTTTCTTCATGATCAGACGTTGAAATGCTGCTTCCTTTGTTTTCTGGAATACTCTTAGAAGCTTTCTTGCCAAGCTTTTTCAGAAATTGCCGAACTTTTGATGAGGAACCATCAAACTTACTTGATTTATCACCTAAATCAGGACTAACACTTGAATACGGTTTCATAAATGAAGGATAACCTGCATTTAATGACGTCAGGTAATTTTGAAACTCTATGTTCAACTTGGCAAACCACGTAAGTTTTACTTGGTCCTCGCAGGAAGCAAGACGAAGGGATTTGCACCATGCTTCTTTCTCCCAACATGTCTCAAGATAAATGTACAGTATTCTACTTCCTTCACATGAAGTTGATGCTCTGCACTCTATTTTGATAGGATATCTTTTCGCCCTGTAAGATTGCAGCAGATAACACCAATAGAAGTTGTAAATTATTTTTATTACTTCTCTGCCAAACAATTACACAAGCCACTTACTTAACTGTGTGCTAATTCAGTGAAATCTAAGATTTTGTAGGAAAAGCAGAATCTATTATGGGCACCAACAGAGATCTGTTCTACATTTGCCTTAGCGGCAATAATTTATCCATCAACTTCTTGATAATAGAGAAAACGGGTAATTGGGGTTTTATTTTTTGTCTACTTCTTCTAGAATTAATTTTAGCTTTCTTATTTAAAAAACTCTGCGATTGTCCCAAAATCACACAACCAGAATTTGAACATCAAAGTAGTGACAATTGCTATAATGAAAATTTTATATTTTTAAAATGAGCAGCAAGTGACCTACTTTCACCCAATGATACTACAGAGATACATGTAGGCAAATTTGTGGAAACCAGCTTCCAACAACCAGATTATTTCGCGGTCAGACTAAGAAGAATATTTTGGCTCATCTTTATATCTATTCTAGCTTTCCTGCTGCCAGCAATCTAGCACACAGATTTAGAACAAAGCACACAATTTAGCTACTTCTGCAAACTTCTTTTGAAGAATTTTAGCTTGCTTATTTTAGAATAAAATCTGCAGATGCCCTAAATCTCAACCAGGGATTGGACTTGAACTTCAAATAATCCAAAAATAAAATAAAAATACTTTAGCTAAACATAGCAGCAAATGATCAACCTATTTCCACTCTATGAAACTGCAAAAATACATGTAGGTTTACATATGTGTGCTTCAGCTAGCATTCAACCACCAGATCAATTCAGACTTGACTAAGAAGAATGCTTTGCACTCATATTTATGTCTGCCCAAGCTTTTATACCACCAGCACCACATGACAAAGGACATAGCTTATAACTCAATTGCAGCTAGAACTAGATAGCTCTTTCCAGATCTGATGCCTCCAAAACTATATTCATAAAAATGTTAGAAGAGGACTACGAGTGCCACATCTTGCCAATGATTTTATATTTGAAACCAATGACTCAAACCAACTTACACGACCAAAATTAATACAGTTTGTCGGTTCAACAAAAATCACTTCAATATATAATAGTACTTCCAAACTTACCATTTTCTAGTGGACAAGCTTGACGCTGAAACAGCTGCTATTATGCAACCTTTCAGTGGAATTTCTACATGGGAACCATCTGACTCTGTAAATACGAGATGATGATCCTTGATTTGTGCAAATTTCTGAGTAGGTGTAACCTCTAAGACCTCCTTCTTGCTTTTTTGCTGCGTCACGGCTTTATCCACTGGAAGAGCCTTTGGTATTCTTTCAGATTCTAGAACCCAGACTGTCCCCTGGAAGCAGATACAGAACATAAGCAACAAGACAGTAAGTTGAAGCTGATCAAGTCCATTTAAGAAAATGTGAAAGGAACTTGAATTGAAAATCAAATTTGCTGCTCGGTGTGAGCAATTATAAGTTATCTCTGAGAAAACTTATCTCTTAACGATGAAGAAGAAACAGTGTTAATGAGATATTATTATAACGTTATATTCTTCTAAGGTAATAATATCCTAAAAAGTCTGAAAAGAAGTTATCCCAGATACCACGGTTATAAAAGAGTCCGAAAAAGAATATATTCAAAATTATACCCTCAGCTTGAAAATAATAGCAAATCTAATCATCCAAACTGATAATCCCTCTAGCACATCCTATCATGTTGCTTTCAATGGAAATAATGATGTAATCTCCTCCCGTTTCTAATAGGGTGTAGTATAACAGGTGTGCTACAAGAGGTATCTAATTCTAACAGGTCCTCAATGTCTTTTTCTATTAGAAACGGGAGGAGTTCATATATTATTTCCCTCTAGCACATCTTATAGGGTACACTTCTATTTTTTTAACAATGTCTTAACACACTATTCTCTTGTTAGGCCAAGCACGTGGAACTACCTAACTTAATAATGGGCAGTGGTGAGACTTGAAACCAAAACTTCTTCCTGCTCTAGTACAACATAGAAATTATTGAACTGAACACACTTTTTATTCAATGTAACAAGTTTACACTGAAGGTTACGAATGCAAATCAATAGCCTTAAGTCTAGTCTAATATATTAAAAAAAAAAAAGACTCCACATAGACCAGACTCAAAACACATCTAATCTCTACATTCAAGTGTTCAAATTACATTCTACCAATGTCCCCAAATAGACTAATCACATATACTCTCTTTATTCCAAAATGTCTAGCACTTTTCATCTCCCGAAATTTCAACCTAAATTGCATATCACACTTCCAAATGCCCTTATTCATTACTTAGATAGGGGAAAATTGCTAATATACTTCTAATGTAGATTCCAAATCATAACTTCACGAAAGGAATAGCTTAATCGAGTTAATTTAGCTGTCCTATAAATCAATCAGTCAAAATTGAGCAGCATGAACATTAAGCAAGTAAAATGACATACCTGTTTCAGGTACAACGAGAAATCGAAATCCTCAGTAGACGATAGCGACCCGTCCGGTTTTGCTTTATCTACTTCACGAGCAAGTCTACGGTTCAACCAGCGTATCAAATACACCACGCACACAGCTTCAATTGCAATAACCGTTACAGCTCCCAGAACAAACACTATAAATAGCAGCAACATCCTTCTCTTTCTCCTAAAATTACCAGTAACAAGCTTCGCTTATCACAAATCCATCATTTTGGCTACAGAAATCTTCCGATTCTTTCACTGTTTTGACCAATTTCAACACGATGAAGAAGGGATTCGAGAGAAAAATAGGTCACTTGTTAAGAAAAACTGCTTAACTAGTTAAACGAAATTCTGGGGAGGATAAAGTACTAATAATATAAGCATGGTTCAAGCAAAGCTGATGACCAAATTCTGACCAACGCGTTAGTAGATTTTTTTAATTTCTTTAAGAAATCAAGTTGAAGTATGGCACACGTATCTGCCAATTTTTGTCGCACAGTTTTTCTTCTTAGTGGGTGGGATTTTTAAGGAAAAATTATATAAGTGATGGTTTTTAATTTAATAATTATTACTTTTTAAGTATATTTTTAATTTATTATTATTTTTGTTAATTTTTAGTAATATTTATTTAAAATAATTTTAAAAGATTTTTTTAAATTTCGTGTCAAGTCAAAGTCAAACGATGACTCCTAAATTAAAATGGATAAGTAATATTTTTTTTAACTTGTACTCCCTATTCCATTTTATATGATACGAGATTCAAATAATAATAGTTTTGACCAGAAATTTTTCATACAATAATCAATTGTTATGATTCATAGTACTTTTTAAAATAGTTTATAAACACATAAATTTTATTTCAAAAAAGTTAAAAATTTCACATAAATTTTTTATCAAATTTAAATTATTTGACTATCGGAAAACGAAAAATATAAAGAGGAATATACTTTTTGATTATTGGTGTGGTCCATGCTAGTTCTATTAGAATCCTATCATTATTCCATCATTTTTGCTGGTCCAAATCAGGAAAATAACACAGGCAAAGTGCACCTAAAAATGTCATGGGGTGCCCTATTTTGGCAGGCACCATTTAATTGGTATTGGCATTGTGTTTAATTTTGCATAAATATTGATTACTCTATTAATTTCAGATAAAGAGATCTATTATGGAAAAAAACAATACTTATTTTATTTATATACATGATTAAAATTCTATAGCAATTTTTACTTGCATTAGTCATATATGAAAAAAAATTAAAAAGTATTAAATGAAAATGTTAGATTTATAATTGTTTTAATAAATTGATGATTGAGATTTTTTTTTAATGGTAAATTAACTTATGATTCAAATTTGAAATTATTTGGAGTTGACTTGGATATATTGAATGGTGTGTTGGATTGTTGAAATCTGAAGAACATTATTTATTTATTTTTTCCAAAACGATGCAGACACACATAGTTGAAAGTCTAGCCAATTTTTACATGACTAAGTAAAAGAATTATGTACAGCCAAATGAGGCAATCTGGCAGGGTTATGTATATCACGTTCACTCCTAAATAAATAAATAAAAGATTCGCAGCTTTTCCATGCTTCCTTTGTTAATTAGTAGGATTTTCTTTTGTTTCTTTATTACTCCAGTACAGAGTTGACCTGCTACCTTTTCTTCAAATATACTTCATACGCACCACAAGTATTACATGTATAAGATGAATTCAAGTAGAAGAAGACATTTGATTAAACAACCAAAGGAAAAATTTTAACTGTATATAGATGACGAGGAACTCCTCGTCATCGTTCTCCTATGTAGTAACATCGTCAAATGACGATGTTATTATGGAGATTGATGAAGCAAGTGAACCACAAGGCCACAATGGTATAGTAGTATCTGCTCATGTGGCTTGGAAGGATGTAAGTGTAATGGTTACTCTGAATAATGGAGATACAAGAAATATACTAGAAGGACTTACTGGTTATGCAGAGCCTGGAACATTTACTGCATTAATGGGTCCTTCTGGTTCTGGTAAATCTACGTTGCTCGACGCCCTCTCTGGACGTCTTGCTTCTAATGCAATCCTCTCTGGAAATATTCTCCTCAACGGTCGCAAAGCTAAGCTCTCATTTGGAACTGTAGTAAGTAGTTAGTTAATTCTACTCATATATTTTCGTACCATAATTGGATTTTTCACTTGTCAGCATTCACAATATACTCTTAAGAGCTTCGAGAATCTTGTTTAGAGGGAGAACATGTAAGGTACAATTTTTCGTTAATCCATGAACAATATTTAAACATATTAATCGGAAAAGAATCAAGAAAAAAAGAAAGAATTAGAATTGATGGATAAATTTCTTGAAGCAAAGGAAAGATGAAACATAAATCATGGATCAACTAAACTTCATTGTAGATTTTTTATAGAGGAACCTCATGTATATACGATGGAATAAGGTTTGATCCTATCCATGAAAATTCCGTAACTATTCTAGAAATGAAACTCTCTTTTCTTTGGGCAAGTTTTATGAGGTTATTTTCTCTCGATATTTTACTCTTTTTATATAGTGGATTGCTCATTTCCGCATGTGGATGGATTGAACCATGTTTGTTATATATATTTCTCTTTTATAATCTCACTATCATCTTGGTTTAATTTGTTAGCTTTGGCGCAACACCTGATTAACTAACAAATTTATATACACTACAGGCATTTGTAACACAAGATGATACGTTGATTGGAACTCTAACGGTTCGAGAGACGATTCACTATTCAGCTCAATTACGTCTCCCTGATAGGATGCCATTATCGGAGAAACGTACACTGGTTGAGAGCACCATTGCTGATATGGGCTTACAAGATTGTGCTGATACGTTTATTGGAAATTGGCACTTGCGCGGTATTAGTGGAGGAGAAAAGAGGAGGGTTAGTATTGCTCTTGAGATTCTTATGAGACCTAGATTACTCTTTCTCGATGAACCAACGAGTGGACTAGACAGGTAATGTTCTTAAGGTCATAGCTCAATTGTGTGTTTAAGTTTTGAAATACCTAATAAAGGAACAACATCTAATGGAATCAGCTTATTGGATTTGTGATAGTGCCTCAGCATTCTTCGTAACACAGACGCTACGTTGTCTGTCTAGAGATGGACGGACTGTGATAGCCTCAATTCACCAGCCAAGCAGTGAAGTATTTGAGCTGTTTGACAGATTATACTTGCTTTCCGGAGGCAAAACAGTTTACTTTGGTCAAGCTTCTGAAGCACACCAGGCAAGATATCTCCCTTACTCAAGACTCTCCATCATTCTATGGATCATTTTCGTCTCCCGACCCTATACCTTTTTCATCATGTGGAAGTTAGAATTAAATCTAGTTTTTGGTTTGCAGTTCTTTGCAGAAGCTGGATTTCCTTGTCCTTCTTTTAGAAATCCATCAGATCATTTCCTCCGGTGCAGTAACTCTGATTTCGACAAAGTTAAGGCAACTCTAAGAGACTCAATCAAAGTATGCTTTTTAAGATCATCTTGTTACTAATCAAACTTCAAAAGTTTGCATGAGATTCGGGGAATAACTTTTTAAATAAGTAATGCTACTCTGTTCAAAGTTAGGAAACACTTGAAGCATACACCTTACACACATGTGTTTTTTGTTTTGATAAGTGCAATAAAATAGTCACTGATCCATATAAGTTTCCGTTTTCTGTAGTCCTTTCTTTAAGCAACATTAACATGTAGAGTGTCTTAGGATATAAAGATCTTCACCTTCCTTCATTTAGCTTATTCTGTTCTTATTTTATTTAGTTTGATCAGTACAATGATGATCCTCTAAACAAGATGACAACAGTAGAAGCAATTCGAAGTCTTGTTGACTTCTATCGCCGTTCTCAATATTGCTACTTAGCAAATGAACAAGTAGAAGAAATGTCCAAAGTTGTAAGTTTTAATGTACCAGACTTTGATCTTGATTTCTTCATCATCTGTCGAGTTTCTTCTTTGATAAAATGTGATACTTTTTTTGTGACAGAAAGGAACAGTGCTAGATTCTAATGGTAGCCAAGCTAGTTTCTTTATGCAGTCCTACATCTTAACCAAACGTTCATTTGTTAATATGACAAGAGACTTTGGCTATTACTGGCTGAGGCTTGTGATCTACTTAGTGGTCTCCGTCTGCGTTGGAACTATCTATTTTAATGTGGGAACCACGTATAATTCCATCCAGGTAATTTGTTTCTCCTAATAGGATTTTTAAGAATATGCATTTTTTGTTTTATTTATCAAATTGACTTTATGCAGGCAAGAGGTGCTTGTGCAGCTTTCATCTTTGGATTTATGACATTCATGTCGATAGGAGGTTTCCCTTCATTCGTGGAGGATATGAAAGTTCGTACTTTGCATGACCCTCTTGAAAAAGCTATCTTAACTCTATAGTGATACATTGCCAGACATTTCTAATAATTTGGTCCTATTTTTACAATCAAAACAGGTTTTTCAAAGGGAAAGGATGAATGGGCATTATAGTATCATTGCATTTGTCATAAGTAACACATTGTCTGCAATGCCGTTCCTTATATTGATTGCAACTCTTTCTGGTACCATCTGCTACTTCATGGTCCGATTTCATCCAGGATTCTCACACTATTTGTTCTTTGTATTGGCCCTTTATGCCAGTATTACAACGGTTGAGAGCCTAATGATGGTCATAGCAAGTGTTGTCCCTAATTTCCTCATGGGTATCGTCATAGGGGCTGGCATTCTGGTAGTAAACTTAATCCGTTTCTGTTTTATAGACTACGAAATTTTCTGCTTATCTTAGAATCAGAAGTACTAATGCATGCATACCATTTTCCACACTTAACAATTGTGTATGTTTTCTGTGTTAGGGAATATCTATGGTGGTTTCTGGGTTCTTCAGACTTCCCCATGACATCCCAAAACCTGTCTGGCGTTACCCGGTGTCTTACTTGACTTTCGATTTTTGGGCTATACAGGTAAATATTTGCTGCAGAGTTTACCTGTTATAAACTCATAATGGAAATGCTAACATCATCGGAGCCTAAAGATAATTACACGTAAGCCTTCAAAATAAAGCATATGAAAGAGAAATGCGTTATCAAGCACCAACTTGGCATGTTCAGACCAATTACTTGCTTTGATGACAGATGTAGATATCTAAGTAGTAGTTTTTTTTTGATGGAAAATCTGTTAAGATCCGTCCAGTATTATTTTGATATATGAATCCATTGAGTTTAACTTGGTGTTTCTGTAGGGGCAATACAAAAACCACTTGAAGGGGTTGATATTTGATAACCAGAGTCCTGATCTTCCCAAGATCACAGGTGAATACGCGCTAAAAGAAACATTCCAGATTCACGTGAACAGATCAAAATGGGTGGATCTTAGTGTCATATTCTCCATGATAATCATCTACCGCTTAATCTTCTTCATCATGATCAAGATCAACGAGGATGTTACTCCTTGGCTCCGAGGCTACATTGCTAGAAGAAAAATGCAGCAGAATGGTGCAAATCAGAATAAGACAATGACACAATACGCTCTTGCTTAATCGCCTTCTCCAAGGATCTGAGAATCATGAACCAAATAACAAGATCAAAATGAATCAATCAAATTAGAAAACAAAGTATTTAAATAGAAGCCATCATTTGTTTATTCTTCTTCTAATAAGTCACACATAAAGTTGCATTTACACATTCTGTATAGAAAGAATTTTACACTTTGTAGGCTTTGAGTAAAATACTACAAATACCACTACACACTCAAAAAAGAAAACCTCTTTTGATTTCTCGTCTCGCTAAAAATATCACTCACACTATTTTATTTTATTTTTATAGTTAGTCTATGATATACCTCACTCAGTTCTCTAATACTTCCCTTTGTGTGTTGGTGTACATGATGAAATGTGCCAATATTTCTCCCTTGTATTAATTGAGTGATTGCCAGTTTTCAACGAATGTGTGCTAGTGCAATCTGTGCAAATCACAGCCAAAAGAAAAGTGAAGATAGGGGCTGGACCTCATACATATAATACCAGTTTTAACAAGGGAAAATAGAAATTTTAGTTTCCTTTACTACGGAATATATATGTCAACAGTTGCAGTCAATTTGGATGATTTTATACGATTCCTAAAATTAAGATATATTAAGGCATGTATATCCCTGATTCCACTACAAATATAATGTGATTTACCTCTACTCTTGCAAACAATTTCACTATTTATTTATTTTTTGGTTGAAACAACACTTATTTGGGACCTGCTAGATTTATTACTCCAGTATAGAGCTGACCAGCTAACTAGTTCTTTTTTTCAAACAAACTTTATAAACATCAGAAGTAATACAAGTAAGATGCATTTCAAGAAGAAGACAACTGATTAAATAACCAAAGAGAGAAATTAATTGTATATAGATGATGAGGAACTCGTTGTCGTCGTCGTCGTTCTCGTCCTCCTCTGCAATTATGGAGATTGAAGAAGAAAGTGAACCACAAAACGCCAATGGTATAGTGGTATCTGCTCATGTGGCTTGGAAGGATGTTAATGTAATGGTCACTCTGAATAATGGAGATACAAGAAATGTATTAGAAGGACTTACTGGTTATGCAGAGCCTGGAACATTCACTGCATTAATGGGTCCTTCTGGTGCTGGTAAATCTACGCTGCTCGACGCCCTATCTGGACGTCTTGGTTCTAACGCTATCCTCACTGGAAAAATTCTCCTCAACGGTCGCAAAGCTAAGCTCTCATTTGGAACTGCAGTAAGTAGTCCTAAGGCAATAGTTTGTGAGACACAAGTGTTATCCTGTCAGTATCTTTCTTATTCTGGGTGAATTTTGTGAGGTTATTTTAATTGATTTACAATACAGGCATATGTAACACAAGATGATACGTTGATTGGAACACTAACGGTTCGGGAGACTATTTACTATTCAGCTCAATTGCGTCTCCCTGATAGGATGCCATTATCGAAAAAAAGGACACTAGTTGAGAGCACCATTACTCAAATGGGCTTACAAGATTGTGCTGATACGTTTATTGGTAATTGGCACTTGCGCGGTATTAGTGGGGGAGAAAAGAGGAGGGTTAGTATTGCGCTTGCGATTCTAATGAGGCCTAGATTGCTCTTCCTTGATGAACCAACAAGTGGACTAGATAGGTAGATAATGTTCTTACTAATAGATCACTTATTTTACAATGTTAATTTCACAGTATTGATGAACAATACCTTAAATTTTCTGTATTTTGTGACAGTGCCTCAGCGTTCTTCGTAACACAGGCACTGCATTGTCTTTCCAGAGATGGACGGACTGTGATAGCCTCAATTCACCAGCCAAGCTCTGAAGTATTTGAGCTGTTTGACAGATTATACTTGCTTTCCGGAGGCAAAACAGTTTACTTTGGTCAAGCTTCTGAAGCAAATCAGGCAAGATAAATCTCCCTTAATCGAGATTCTCCATCATTTGTTTCTGGATTTTATACCTTTTTCATCATGTGGTAGTTAGAGTTAAATCTAGTTTTTGGTTTGCAGTTCTTTGCCGAAGCAGGATTTCCTTGTCCTTCTTTTAGAAGTCCATCAGATCATTTCCTTCGGTGCAGTAACTCTGATTTCGACAAAGTTAAGGCCACTTTAAGGGAGTTGATCAAAGTATGTCTTTTTAGATCATCTTGTTACTAATCAAGCTCCAAAAGTTTGCATTAGATCAGACCATGTGTAATATGTTGTTTGTTTTGATAAGTGCAATAAAATAGTCACTACTCCATTTAAGTCTCCGCTTTCTGTAGTAGTTTCTTTAAGCAACAGTAACATGAATTTCTATATATTACCGTTGTATTTAGCATGGCTTAGGATATAAGATCTTCAAGTTCCTTCATTTAACTCATTCTGTTCTTATTTTAATAAGTTTAATCAGTACAATGATGATCCTCTAAACAAGATGACAACAGCAGAAGTAATTCGAAGTCTTGTTGACTTCTATCGTCATTCTCAGTACTGCTATGTAGCAAATGAAACAGTGGAAGAAATGTCCAAAGTTGTAAGTTTTAATGCACCAAACCTTGATCTTGGTTTCTTCATCATCTGCCTAATTTCTTATCTCATCAAATGTAATCTTTCTTTTCTTTTCTTTTTTTTGTAACAGAAAGGAACAGTGCTAGATTCTAACGGAAGCCATGCTAGTTTCTTTATGCAGTCCTACAGCTTAACCAAACGTTCGTTTGTTAATATGTCTAGGGACTTTGGCTATTACTGGCTGAGGATTGTGATCTACTTAGTGGTTTCCGTTTGTCTTGGAACCATCTATTTTAATGTGGGAACCAAGTATAATTCCATCCAGGTAACTTATTTCTCCTAATGGGATTTTTACAACTTGATTCCTTTGTAATTAATGTCTCCTACAAGAAGACGCGCTTTTTTTTTATTTACTTATCAAATTAACATTATGCAGGCAAGAGCTGCATGTTCTTCTTTCGTCTTTGGATTTATGACATTCATGTCAATAGGAGGTTTCCCTTCATTCGTGGAGGATATGAAAGTTCGTTCTTTATATGACAGTACTCTAGAAACATCTACCTTATCTTATATAATTGATACATTGCCACACAAATCTAATGATTTGGTCAATCAAAACAGGTTTTCCAAAGGGAAAGGATGAATGGGCATTATGGTGTCATTGTGTTTGTGATAAGCAACACGTTATCTGCAATGCCGTTCCTTATATTGATTGCAATTCTTTCTGGTACTGTCTGCTACTTCATGGTCCACTTCCATCCAGGATTCTCCCACTATTTCTTCTTTGTATTGGCCATTTATGCCAGCATTACGGCAGTTGAGAGCCTGATGATGGTCATAGCTAGTGTTGTACCTAATTTCCTCATGGGTATCATCATAGGAGCTGGCATTCTGGTAGTAAACTTAATCTGTTTCCGTTTTATTAGACTACGAACTTTTGCTTATGTTGGAATGCAAAATTATAATCCTTACCATTGTCTACACCTAAATTGTGTATGTTTCTGTGTTAGGGAATATCTATGCTGGTCTCTGGGTTCTTCAGACTCCCCTATGACATACCAAAACCTGTCTGGCGTTACCCGGTGTCTTACTTGACTTTTGATTTCTGGGCTGTACAGGTAAAAATTTGCTGCACATTTTACCTGTTGGTAACTCACAATGGAAATGTTTAGATCACCCGAGCCTAATGATAATTACACGTAACAGTCCATAATAAGTAGAATCAGTAGTAGCCTTAGCAGTTAACGTAATGCACTAATTTCATAAATGATTTTATCATATACAAGTTATAAATACGAAACTACATGCTTTATAGGCACCAACTTGGCATGTTCAGACCAATTCCGTGCTTTTATGAGGATGTAGATGTAGTAGTCCTTTGATGGAAAATCTGTTGAGATCTGTCCAGTCTTATTTTGACTCTAATTTGGTGGTTTCTGTAGGGGCAATACAAAAATGACTTGAAGGGGTTGATATTTGATAACCATAGTCCTCATCCTCCCAAGATCACAGGTGAATACGCGCTAAAACAGATATTCCAGATTGACGTGAACAGATCAAAATGGGTGGATCTAAGTGCCATCTTCTCCTTGATAATCATCTACCGCGTAATCTTCTTCTTCATGATCAAGATCAACGAGGATGTTACTCCTTGGCTCCGAGGTTACATTGCTAGGAGAAAAATGCAGCACAGTGGTCCAAATCAGCATTAAGACAATGGCACCATATGCTCTTGCTTAATCACCTTCTCCCAATCAATCAACAGTAATATGTCTCACACTCTAGTGTTCACATTTTTTCCCAGTGAAAAAAGGTTCATTTTGCAGATATTCTACATCCAGTCCCATAAGTATGATTGAAGAAATTACTTCACAGGACTTATAGTTAAAATACTTACTCGTAGCTGATGTTTACACCAAATCATATTCCGTTCTGTTATTAATATGCAGATGAAGGGCAACCTGCTCAAATAATTAAACGTGCAAAGTCAATGGCTGTTACTATATATTTTACAAACATGTGAAATGGTAGTAAAGAAGAGTGTGAGAAAATTTGAAGTTCTTTAGTCTAATCAAATGTGATTCTGGAAAATCGAAGCCCTTGGTTCTCGTCAATTGATCGATTTATCACATGAATTTAAGTTTTAAAAAATAAATTTAAACTAACAAATCATACTAAAAATTAGGCGTAAGCTCTGAATGTTAGATCTTCACAACACCACACTTTCATATGTGAACATGAAGTTATCAAGCTTTAAACACGATACATTTCGTTCCATAATAACGAACTTGCAAAAAATATTATGATATGTACAAATAAAAAAAAATGTGTTCATCCACTTGTGAAAATTTGTTTACTGAAACTATAGAAGTCCTGCACAAATTAAAATATAATTTATCACATTTAACTATTTAAACAAAGTGTTAAATAATATCCTTATACTTTCTATTTATCTTAGTTTCTAGAAAATTATTTTTAAAAAACTATGCTTCATAAGCAACTATATAAGTTTGATCGAACTAATTGCAATTCAAAAAAGAAGAAAAAGGAAACAATTGATGCTTAGTTCTCGTCTGATAAACAATTTTTTTCCTCGGTTTCTCTCACAGTGTAAGCTCTCTCCTTTGCCTGTTCTTTCACTTCTTCTCTTTGTTTTGCTTATAAATTGCTTTGATTAATGCACCAAAAAATTGCTTTTTTTAAGAGATTTAGTTTGTTTGCTTAGTTCAATTTCAGTAGGAGCTTCGAGGAAGATGGACAAAGATGAACTGAGAATTGAGCTATAAGTTTGTGGATATTGTGTTTGTTTCTTCACTTAGTATGTTTTTTTTTGCTGAAATTATAGGTTGCAATGGGAAAAGTAGGTGAGGAATTGACAGAGCAAGAAACTGCCATATATGATCGCCAAATTAGGGTTTGGGGTGTTGATGCTCAGCGAAGGTATTCTTCTTCACTCATTTTTGTGATTTTACACAGGCAACCAGTATGATAATGCATCACAAACACATTGTTGTTGAGGATAGATGTTTACTTTACATACATGTGTATGAGCTTGGTGTCCTTAGTATCAATAGTGGAACCAGGGTTTTCATGTGCTTATGGCAAGTAATTTTTTTGTTATGAAGGAAGAGGGACATCCATGTCCTGTGGTTCACTTGAAGGGAAAATGGAATGTGTGCTCATCCTATGACTTACTTTTACTTTTAAAAGCAGTATTCTAACTTCAAGGGAATGACATATACAATATTTTAGTTAGATATCTAGTAGACCCATCTAGTTCTTTCATTTTTATAAAAGATTCTACTATCTTCTTATTTGTGTCAGGTTGAGCAAATCTCATATATTTGTCAGTGGACTGAAAGGGACTGTTATTGAGGTACAAAACTACCAGTTAATCACTTTTTGAAGTAAATGTTTATTGCCATATTTGTTATTATGTTTATTTATCAATAGAACTTTTCTGTCGTTTGTTATTGATGGAATTGGATTATGTCCAAAGCATAAACTGTATACATCATGCTTCTTGGCCCTTTGATAGGATAAGTTTCAATATAATATTTTCAGTTCCAGATGCTAAATTCAAAATGAGCAACTTCAGATTATATTAACTTCTTTTTTCTCCTTTTTCTTTCCCAGTTCTGCAAGAACATTGTCTTAGCCGGAGTCGGTAGTTTGACGCTAAATGATGATCGACTTGTAACAGAAGAGCTACTGTCTGCTAATTTTTTAGTTCCTTCTGATGAAAATGTGACCAGTGGGAAATCACTTGCTGAGCTTTGTTGTGAATCACTGAAAGATTTCAACCCCATGGTTACTGTTTCTGTTGAAAAAGGTTTGGATCTGTTTGTACTATAATTTATTTACAAACTCTTTAACCTGCATAGTTCCTCTTAACTCATCAAACACCAGTGCATTTCCGCTTTTTGTCGTTCTTTGATCTTGTAATGATTTCGTAAGTTGGCTTAATTTTCCACTTATTTTTGTTTTTTCCTAACACATATAACTGTTATGCATATTATGCTTATCAGATAGTTAACTCTTTTTATACTCTCAAATCATATAAAAAGGTGCATTAAGAAAGTTCCTAACATTTCACTTCCGACTCGAGTTCTTAGCTATATCTCTATTGGGTTTTGATGATATGCAGTGTCAGGTGCATGTTAAGCACCTTATATCTATTTCTCAGAATCAGATTGTGTCAATGCATCAAAGATTTCATTTTTATGTCTCATATGCTCTATTTTTAGGTGTTCTGGCCAACTTCGATGTTGAATTCTTTCAGAAGTTTGATGCTGTTGTCATCAGTTGCTGCTCGCTGCTGACAAAAGTATGGACATTCTTCTTGCTTGTTGAAAATAAATAAGAGGATTTTTCCAATGAAAATACCAGTTTTTTTTATGATTTTAATTTTGATAATGCTCCCTATGCAGAAATCGGTTAATGCAAAGTGTCGCAAGTTGCCAAGACGTGTCGCATTTTATTCTGTAGAATGCCGAGATTCCTGCGGTGAGATATTTGTTGACTTGCAGAGCTACTCCAAGGTTACAACAATATTTATATTTTTTATAGTCCCCTTCTTTTTCAGTTGGATTTCATCCTTAGATAGAGTGTCTCCATGTTTAATGATTATACAGCTTGAGTTATCTTCTTTTGACCCTTTTCTTCAGTTCAATCTAGTCCTTTCCACACATAGGTGTACCTTTTATCTTGAGGGCCTATATCTTGTGTATCATATTGCTAGATCTGATGAATCTCTTAAATCCCTTCTTATGCTTCTGCAGAAAAAGAATGAAGAAACAATTGAATGCCAACTACAGTATCCGAGTTTTGAGGTATGCTGCATCAAAGTATCAAAAAAGAACATTTGGTCCTGTTTAGCTGCTGTGCTGTTTTACTCAACTGTATCGATGAGATTATACTCTTATCTGTATTTTTATTTTTAAGATAGCAGTCTCAGCAAATATCAGATAAGTCGAAGTCATCATCCCTATGGCTGGTTTTCCACCTAAGTTAATGACAACATATCTGCTTAGTGGATATCATATGTATGCTTATGAATAATAGGTGATTGCAGCTGTCACTTATTGTTTCATATTTTATAGCTGAAACCGTATGGATCTCTGTATGTTGTTTCTAAACAGATCAATTTGCTTCAGTCCAGCTGCATGGTGGTTTATATCATTGCCTAACGTCTGTGATGTTTTCAAACATGAATTTCCCATTCAATTTGTGGCAGCACAGCTTTTTGATTTTTTCTTTAAGTACCTTGTTTTGGCACTATTCAAAGTCTGATGGATGATATTCATCTGCTTAACATCCTAACATATATGTGGTAGCTTTGAAGCTTGTCACCAGTATCTGGCAGCTTTTAAATGGCAACACTTAGCTGCCTATGTGATTGTCTACACTCTGTAGAGTTGGGCAAAGTTTTTGGTGAGTGTAACCTTCTCATTTCGAAGTAACAAGAGCCTCCTAACGATCTGCCTATATATAGTAGTTCAAGGAAAGAATTGATTCGACCTAGAGACAACATCCTTGCAATTTGCATTATTAGTTCCCTTGGTTAACACCTCAACACCTGCTTGGTAGGGTTCTTAGGTGCATTGTGTTTCATCACTTCCATTTTCTTCACAACCATCACCAGACATCAAATAATCCACCTTAGCATGTAACAATGTCCAGTATCAGCATGATGAAGTCCTGCAACACCAGTTCAGGCATCACTGAAGACATAATGATTGCATTTAGATTTAAAACCTTAAGGGATTTCACAGTCCCAAAAAAAATAATAGACCATTTTGTTTGGAATTCCTTGGAACAGGTACACGTTTAAAGGCATAATATTCTATAAGGAGAGGCAACAGTGTAACATATGCTAAATATTCTTGTAATCCCCTTTAGCATTCAAAATTAGATAAGAAGGCTTGAAAAAAACAAACATATAGCTGGTCTTTCCGGGATTTACTAAATCGTGATGGTTTAACCTGAAGTTAATAAGGTTTCTCTGTTCCAGAGTATTTCATCAGATTTTCATTTCAAATGGCGATTGCCTTACCTACACTTCTGCAGGAAGCCATTGCAGTCCCGTGGAGATCTCTACCCAAGAGAATGTCAAAGCTATATTTTGCCATGAGAGGTACTCTATTTCTCAGGTTGTTGTAATTTCTTATGCAGATTTAAAGATGCTCTATAAATCCACTTTTGCTATCTGGTGTGTGAATGTCGATGTGAATTTCCAGCTATATAGTTACAAGAACAGGAGAGATCAGTGGGTTGCAGTCAAACCAATCGCTATGTGACATGTCTAAGTTCTCTGGATCTTTGCTTCGACTTTGATATTAGGAATGTAGAACATGAACCAATGCGCTCACTTTTAGAGAGGATCCAGCACTATTTCCTGGTCTCCCCCTTCCCGCAACCACCATTCTTCTAATCTACAAGCTCATATTACAAGATAACTGCCTATTTCTGGTGTTCAAATTCCAATAGCTTGCTGCAAAAGGCATCAATTACCAATGAGAATATGACGGGGTGCTTTCCAGAATTATGATTTTTATGTTCTTCCACACATATGATAGATGTGGCCTTCTGAAATTACAAAATTATATTATCTGTGGTGATTATAGTTAGTGGTAACAATCTAGGTAATATTCCATTTTTCGGTAGCCTGGACCCCAAAAATAATTTAAGTAGCCATCTTGGTGTTGGTTTTGCTGAAATTATTATGGTGACAATGTTATAGGAAGCCCACTAATTTACATTTTGATGCATACCTTAAGTGCAACAGTAAATTTACTCAAGTGTCTTGTCCTTGACTTGTGGACTGGTAATTCTTTGCAGTTCTAGAGAGGTTTGAAGTGCTTGAAAAGCAAAATCCTCAAGATACTTCCGGAGATGACCTTCCAAATGTTCTGAAATTGAGGAAGGAACTTTGTGAGGCACAGGTATATTCCAGAGTTC